TCACGGTTCATAGAGACCTAAACTCCTCACCCTCCCTATCCCCCCCCCCCATCTATTCTGGAGAGGGAGGACTCAGCGAAGTGGCAGCAACTCACTTGTGCTTCTTAAATTACAGGTGACCTACCTGCTTGTTTGCCTCCTATACAATATAAAATAAAAGCGTTAAAAAATACATTACACTAAAAAACAATTGCAGAGATTAAACTATTAAATAAAGGTAATTTTTGTTATTCAACGTTAAAAGTAGTTGTGAGGACAATTTTCTAACTACTTCTCGGCTGTCAGTCAAGTTGTCACGGCTAAGGACTTGAACGAACGTGCTAAAGTACTTTATTCTCGACCACCAAGTGTGATAAAAATATCTTTCTGCTAAATAGAAAAAGGATTTTTAGTAAAAATATTTCGAAGGAGGAATAGCACAGTATAATTTTCATGCATTTATTTTCATTTAAATGTTTTTTCTATTTAATTTATGATTATGATACGATTAAGAATATGGAGTGTCACCACCCATTCGTTCCGTGGGTGTCGTAAGAGCCGACTAAGGGAGCCAACTACGCAGGACAACAGCACTGCATAGAGAAGGAAAACTTGAAACAAACCCTATACCAACCCGTCTGGCCAGCGTGATATAGTAGGCCAAAACCTCCCTTCTAAGGAGAGGCCTATGTCCAGCAGTGGACTGTTAAAAATTGTTGATGAATGATGATGAATAAAACTACATGTGTTGAAATCCATCAAACAGTTTAAGACATGAGAGCGTGCAAAAGAATTAGGGACACATTATATTTATTTATGCTCCAAAAACATGAAGGGTAATGTGTAGTCAACTAAAAAAATATATTAGAAGTTTTCAATGTTTTTCCGCCTTTACCACTTGAATGCACAGGATTCTTTTCCGGTAGCTCCTTAAAATATTCACGTATAAGGTTGAAAAATATATCTCAAATCTATTCTGTATATTGGTGCTGCAATGATTTCACTTCCAAACAGTCGAATGTGGTGTATCATTCTTGGAACAAAAACCACTGGTGCAATGGTTAAAAAAATATTTTCATTTAAAAATTGAATTTGGAAAATGATGTAATTTTTGTAGTTTATTCTACCAGAGGGGTAGCTAGCTCATACGGCCAAACTATACACACCAACGACTTTATATACATATCTGATAAAAGCGCTTAAGGCTTCATAAAGCTTCAATAATCATCATGTATCAGCAGTAAGGCCGATCTCATACTCGTAAGTAGTACAACTCATTGGGAACTTATTTTTAACCGAATTCAATAAAGTAGGAGGTTGTCAATTCATAGGCATCTTTTTTAATTATTTTTTTTGAAGTGATAACTACTTGATAGCTGACCTCTACATCCTTGTGACGCAACCTCCTAGCAACGCGCAATTCCATTGTTTTGAGTTCTCACTTCTGTTGGGAGTACTCGTGACTAACATCAGAAGAATAATTCGGTAATAAACTAATAGATCTATACAGGTCTGAGTGTTTATTTCCAAATTATTCTAAAATTTGTTCTGTGAATTATTGTAAAATTTGTGTCAATACAAATAAATACTTATTAAGGTACTTAATTGATGTAGTATTATTTTAAGGAGGCGATTTGGTTAAAGATAATCTTGTGAAAATATAACATTGTTTCTTTCAGTTTTACTCGTATATTAAATCTACGAAATGTCTTTTTAAGGATGTCCATCAGTTTTCATTTGGCTTTTTAGTCCGGCATCGAGCTCTAATTGCTTAGAACTCTAATACTGTCCGGAAGGGACAGTATACAGGGTAACCAATGAATAAAATTGTACTTAGAATTGAAATGTACCTAAGTTGTCTTCATATTTTGTGCTACTAATATTTGGAATAAAAATTTGGAAAATGATCACCTAAAAATGTTTCTATATATTACAATTATCACAAAAAGATGTAAATTTGAGGAAATTACATATTGTCTCGTCACGCGCGTCTTATACTAATTGGACACCTATCTACTTTAGAGTACAGGTACGTGATTGAGTTTTTTTTTAAGATAGAGGAAGCAATTGATCAGACAGGTCTCCTGATGGAAAGTGACTACTGCTGCACATGAAAGCCTTACAACTCAGTAGTCATAAGCGCGCTGCCGACCCTTGAAGTAGGAGTACACTCTTTTCTAGAAGGTTTAAACATCGTATTATATCGTTTGAGTACTCGATATTCTGATAATATTTACATAGTCTAAAATGAAGTCGCTTTTCGTTCTTGTATGCTTAGATCTTTCAAACTACGCAACAGATTTGAATACGGTTTTCACCAATAAAGAGAGAGATGTATATTATGTGTGTATATAATACATACATAATATAATATTATAAGAGGAGAAAACCCAAGAATTTCAAAGGTTTGTAATGTAATGTCGTAAATAACATGTTTTTGTACGTCTCCATTACAAACGCTGGCTAAATCTTGCGAGATAGATCAAAATAATGTACCTCGAAAATGTATGTCTTAAAAAGATCTACAAAATTATTTTTACCGTGATGGCACATGTCTTTCTACTAAGTATTGGCAATGAGACACGAAATGTTATTTTCAATCTCATTCTATAAAATGTTACGAAAAATGTTAATTTAGTTGTGTCTTTTAGTTTAAACAAGAAGTTTAAACTAAAAGACACAAACACACCAGCAAAATTGTAAACCATATCTAAATATTTTACTCTTACATCTTAACTCACAGTTACTACTTTTTACTCGTACATCTTACAAAAAATAATGAGTTATGTAAGAAGTTTTTGTTAAACAATACAGTATTGTTCCTAATGTAATTAAATATCTCAGATACGTTGTGAATTCAATGTAGATCAAAATTACCATTTTACAGCATATCATTAAATTAAATCTTTAAAATATCACAGACCACATTAGTAATGACATAAAATGGTTATAACCGTATTACCAGTCAATTGTTTTTGACTTGTGAAAACCACGTAGGTCATTGCCCCTCAGGAGTTAGTAGTGAAGGGGTAAATCGAAATGAAGCGTCTATTGTTCCGTCACAGATGGGTCTGCTGCAAGAGCTCTAGGGTGACTTACAATGAAAGACATGGGAGATTTGATGATGACTTTCTTCAACTACGCTATATGGGCCCGTGTTATTTTGGATTCGGGATCCGGAATCCACAACAATGAGTTTAAATATTTAAATGAAAATAATGCACAAATGATTATTTAATAAACATAACTATGAACAGTTTTATTCTATAAATTCCTTTTTATTTTATAAACCAATAAAGCTGAACCCGAAATAATATTTGTAACGATTTGAGGTAAAAGCGATTCAAATAGAAAAATTACGATTAATTTTGAAGTTTTTAGCATAAGAAAAAAAAAAAAAAATCAAACTGTTGCCGAATCAGTAAAAAAAGAATAGTAATAATATAGCTTCATTCTCAATTCAAATTCCTAACATCGCTGTTGATGGAAGACAATATTATCCTACTAGGTATTCTAGAACGATAATTATCGTGAACCAATATGTAAGCGAATGGCAGATTCTTATCCAGACACGCAGATTCTGAACTATCGGTGTCTAACGTAGTCATATCGTGTTCTGGTCTGCATGTATTTGGAGAAGTTTGCACTCCTTGATCCCTCAGGGTTAATGATGAAGTTGAGTCCTGTGTAAGTCAACAAAGTCAATCACATTATTTTAATTACATACACCATAACCTATGACTTTGCAAAAAAAAAAAGACAAATCTTGTAGGGCAATGTTATTCTTTTGGAGAGGGGATAAGTGGCATAAAGCGAGACGAGTTTTTCTAAGAACTGGCAATAAATATTATAAAATATCAATAGTACATTTTTTTTTTTATTACCATTATTTTTAACTTATTTACTATGAGTTTTATAATTAAAGACTAAAAAATGGCAAGTAAGTCCCAAATGCTTCAGTACGCACACGCCTTAGCACGTGGCACAAGATCCTGATCAGAATATTTGGACAAATTTATTAAATTGCTGTATTGTCATCGGTCCTTGATATTTGTGCGAAGTTTCATTGCAACCCGACATTTTGAAGTAGGTGAAAATCACGTTCAAGAATTACATACAACGTTACATACGTATATGCATGTGAAGCTAATAAATGCGTTTAAGAAGGATCAAAATTTCTTTAATATATTAAATAAATATAAATGTAAACGAACCTCGGCTTGTTTAGAACTTCTGTTACTATGATCGGACAATGATGCAGTTCTTGTTTCATTGTGAATACAACGCTGTGTATTTGTTGAAATACTGTCACCAGACCACCTATTCCTTGAATAACTATTGGTGGTATTATTTCTGGAGCCTGAATTTGTTCTGATTCTTTTTCTTGACGAAATAGAAGTTTCTGGAAAATTCGATAAAATAAAATATATTATAATCTCGTTTAGTAAAAAAAATTATAATCAGACTATTAAAAATATTTAGATATGGTTTACAAATTTTCTGGTGTGTTTCTTTTAGGTTTAATACGAAAATTATCATTTTTCGTAACATTTTATAGAATGTGATGAAAAATAATATTTTGTGTCTCGTTGCCTGTCAAAACAGCTATGGGTACTGTGTTTTGTTTATTAGCGAGTGCGTAAACATAATTTAAGGCAAGGTAAGTATATACATAAGTACATCATTTAGATACAAGGTAAGGAGGAAAATGACAATTCTGCCTCATTAGATCTAACTACGTTTGTGGTATCTGCATTGTCGGCCAATTTTTTTTACTACAGCCATTTTGTTGTGAATACTTATATGCATAACGCTTAGGGCAACTGTTATTTGTGTATGAGACGTTTATCCAATATTTTTTGACAGATATTGTTTTATTTTTATGAATATTAAGAAGTAACGGAAGTAACAAAAGTAACGGTTAAATTTCCATGAAGGTTTGGCGTCAGGCAGATGGCTGGCCATAGAAGACACCAACCAAAACCTCAAATTAAATTGAGACAAAGGGAGGCAAATTATATTTAAGATTTACCGAAATCTTGTACACTTCCATGTCTTGTCTGCTCAGGAGTGGCTGCATACTCCGAGGAATCATAAGAACCTGAAGAGGACGAATCTGAAACAATTGAAGAACATAATTTTTTGTCATAGTACACAAATGTTTACAAACAAATTGGAGAACCGAGACTAGGACTATCCTTCACTACATAACGTGACAAAGTGGCACTGAATATTTAAATTTATTTTCGTCGTTTTGATGAAGTATATTCCTATTAGCTAAATCTAGATTTGGCTCAAAAATGGCATATAGGAGCACAAAGTAGCTGCATTAAAAATCATACACATCAAACACACACATACTATCTTATATATATGTATGATATATATATGTATTTATATAGGTATATATCATACGTATTTTTATGATAGCTTTATTAGCATATATTAGCATATATTTTATATATTTATGTATATACATGTATATCTTTTTCTATTATTATTAAAATTTTAGTTTTTGGTATATTTCTTACATCATAATTTTGGCATAACATTTTTAGTACAATTTTTAAACTTACGGAAGGGACTCGACCCCTCGAACTCAGGAAATCTTTGTGTGGGAGATATTTTGTTTTAGTAGTTAAGTGCACTCATGAAATTTGTGTATTATAATGTGTTGTGAAGAAATTTTTACATAAATTTATTATTATCATAAAATTATTAAAACAATTTAGTCGGCTTCAAGTGACTCTCGATTTTCGGTGTCCATGGGCGGTGCTGATTACCTACCATCAGGTTTGTCACTGATGTCAAAAAAAGTATGACTTTATATAAATTATATTAAACATTTATTATTATTAAAATTTTATATAATATTATTAAAATTTATTATTATTATTATCTTTAAACAATTTCGTTGAGCAAAACACCCAAGACTTAATTTTAACCAATTTCCTTACTGTTGGTGTGTCTTCTTTTCCGATGAGTAATGTTTTCTTCCAGTGTTTTTACATCTGTAAAAAACATAATGAAATTAGTCCGTCATATAATATGATACTATAATCTATATGTAGAAAAGAAGAAACTGACTGACAAATCGATCAAGGTACAGCTAAAACCCGCTGGGTCTAGAAGCATGAAATGTTCCTTAGGTGACGTAGATACGCACTAAGAAAAGATTTTTAAAAATTTCTTCCAAAAGGGTGCAAAATGGGGTAGAAGTTTATATGAAACTACGTTATTTTTGACGTTTCCCTCACTCAATCACGAAATAAGAAATAATCACGCGAGCGAAGCCGTGAGCAATAACTAGTAAAACATGTGTCTTTATTATACTATCATAGTATGGCGTTACCAAAGAATACATACTAATGTTTTTTCGTTGTAATAAATACATTTTCATTTTTGTATTTTAAAATTAAAAAGTTTTATATTTGTTCATTATTTACTTAAGGTATAAGTTAAATTTCATAGTCCGCGTCGTGACGGATTGTTACCACCCTTATTCATCGGTGTCGGTCGGTGTCGTAAAAGCCGACTAAGGGAGCAAACTCTGCAGGAAGGGAGCAAACAGCACTGCTAAGAGAAAGAAAACTTGAAACCATCCCTACACCAACGCATCTGGCCAGCGTTTTTATAGTAGGCCAAAACCTCTTTCTAAGGAGAGGCCTATGTCTAGCAGTGGACTGTTACAGGCTGGTGATGTGATGAATTAATGGTTTTATCTCTAGCACCAAGCTTATTGTCGTGTTAATGCTTACTACATAATAATCATTTTAAGTCATGTAATTACTATCACACATAAAATAATTGCTTTTGTCAACAAAACACCTGTTTGAAAATATTGTTTAGTGGTCTCTGATTTTAAAGCTAAACATTATTTGTAACGATAAAATATAGATTTAACAAAAAATGACAATTTAGCATAAAATAAATTGAAAACTACTGTTATAGAAGCTTAATTACGTGAATAGTACACAACTGGTCACACGTCTTACCTTCAAACAGCTTACAAATACTAATTTTGTACAATTTGGCAACTCCAGTGATAAGTGTTGCTGAAGTCCTCAAAGACAATCTTCTGTCTTCTTGGTAAGCCTCACTGAATATCCAAGTATCCAACCTTCGACTGACAAAAAAACAAATGGATGTGTTTTGTACCAGACGTTTCGACTGAATTGGGCCGATACTGGCTGTTCGCGTCGTTGTGCTCTGACTTGCTATGTCACAATACGAGTAGATAGCTCTCTTTGCTTCTTAATTATTATTTTTTGGAATTATTAATATTATACAGAGATATGAAAAAATGTGGTCGAATTAGGAATAATAACTAGAGCTCACACCTTACATATATGTCTATTATAAGCTAAATTTTACATTCCTCTCCTCGCAAAGTTTTTAGAAAGCGCGTATACAAAATTGTCTTTACGTATTAATATAAAGTAGCAGAAATGTTTTTTAAATGTGTACAACGCCATATAAGTATTAAACCTACAATACAGTTAAAATATATACCTACCGACAAAAAATATAGTTATATTTCATCGACTGGATTAAATTCTCAATCGATTAAAACATAAGTAATGAAAAAATACATTCTAAGAATAATTTGATTCATTTTAAATCTAAGTATCGCTGATAAGCTACCGAGATACATTGTAAAGACTGGACTATAGATATAACTACAAATGTAAGATACAACAATTGGTAGCGCCGAAATGTTTGAAAAGTTTGGAGATATAACTAAAATGTTTCTGCTACGATTGGGCCATAAAACAGAAGCACTGATTAAAAAGTTCAGATATTCCAAAATAGTACTAGAATATTTACATACCATATTTCTGGTAAATGAATTTCTTCATCATCTGCTTCGGTCGAAATATCATGTACAGCTTTCCACACTGTTTCTAAAAGACCACCATGAACAAGTTCTTTAGGATGAAACATAATTAATTTTCGTTTATATTACATATGATAAATGTATATGTTAGTAGTAAAAAAAAATGTAATAGGTGGGTAGGTTATCCATTAGGTCTATTTTTTTTTTAAATAAATGGCACTTGTATCCAGGGGCAATGAGTACACACAAAGCTTTTTTTAACGTGGAAACATTCTCTTAGGTTTTTTTTTTTTAAACAAATGTCCCAACTTTTTAAATAAAATACCTAAAAAATACTGAATAATTTAAACTAATTCTTTTCATAAATTCTTTCAATTCAAATAAATCTTTTCATTCTCCAAACTTCTTAAAATAGACAATTCCCACAATTTCTTAACTCTACTATGATGGTATAAGCAAGGACATTTTATGGTTTCAGTTTTGTTATAATATTTATATTATAATTAGGAATACCTTATATCGTGAAAACGCAAATGATCATTAAATTGTTGATTTACGTTTTAAAATATCGCTCTAATATATCGACGAAAATTGTATATCAATAAAATTTAAATTACTTCAATTATTCTCAATTTTATACACACCCCAAAATAAATGTCATCAATGTCTTTTTATGTATTCCGAGATCATTTAAAAAAAATTGGTGTTGAAAAAATTTGAGTAAAGATTTGTTTGAACGCATTCAAATGTTTTTTTTTTGATTTTGTATCCCAAAAAAGTTCCGAGTGTAAAAAAAAGAACAAGCAAACATATAGCACTTTTTCGCTAATAAATCACATTAACAAGGATTTTTTTTATTTGAATCCAGTCTTTATATAAAATGTACATAAATTTTCTATATTATCTGTGCCAAATTGTAACCGTGCACTTTTATTGCCTCAGCTTCGTGCATTTATTACACTAGCAATGTGTGCAATCGCCGTTTGTTTTACACCGTGGTTAAATTGCGGTAACTTGTTTTGTATATGTGCACTGATGTACCCTAAACCTACAGTTATCAATTTTAAAATGCGTGTCATCTTTTAGACACTGGACCACACTGGACCGCTTCCTGCTTCGCCGTTTTTTTTCAGCCATAGACGTTGAAAATATAGTACCTAGATAGCATTAGATTCAAATATATTTGACTTAAATAGAAAATGCTGAAATGCTTATGACAATTTTGCCTCAATTTACCATTTTAAAGATATACAGACCCCTATCATACTAATATATGTATAAATATATTTGTTACTTGTTCACGTTCGGACCCACTGTGATAAAATTTGGTATTGAATTACGTGACATCTTGGATTAACACATAGGTTACTTTTTATCCCGAAAAATGTAGCATGAGCTTGGAATGAGCAATATCTGATTCACCGCCCTCTATTCTATAAAAAAATCTAAAATATTTATATTTGAACAATATAATCTTAAAAATTTATATTTTAAATAGTTTAAAATAAAATTTATTTCCAAACTTGAATAAGGTCTTGGCTACATTTTGTATCTGATTTATATCTTATTGTGATTCTAATATAAGCTTATTACTAACTAACTACTACTAACTAACTAACTAACTAAAATATGTAAGAGTGAATAGAATATAAGTAAAAGCAAAATATTACATATTATATTGCAATCGGCCTTAACTAGGTGTGTGGCCCGTGTTTCAGGCAGTCGCTTGACTATGACGTTAGAACAGAACGTTAATATTTTAAAGTTCTAATTGTTTATAATGAAAATGTAAGTTTGTTTAAAATAACGTTACACAACGGTGTTAATGCAAGCCTAACGGTTTCTCAGTAGGGGATAATTCACACGTGGTCTGCAGTATATTTTTACAGCAAGAGTAAAATAAAATTGTCCAGTAGCTCTAACACTTGCATTTTGCTTATTTATTTTATGTCTTTGGATGAACACGTGTGTAGAGATATATTTTCAAACCACAGGCAATCGAAACTAGTGTTTATTTATTTATTTGTTGATCAAGATCTCAATTGTTGTAAATATATTTTAAAAATATTGGTAAAAAGTGAAGTTATTATATTATAAAAATATTTTATCTCTTTTATCTTATATCTTTTTTACAATAAAATGTTTTTTCTTTTAAATTTATAGAAAATTACTTATTTACTTTTACTATACTACTACTTACTATTACAAAAACTCAATTTATGTTTATCATATTTTCATTATATATTCATTTTACGATACTCATGTTAAATGAAACTGACATATTCTAAATTCAAATTATCAACATTTTGTTACGCTCTCCTTGGAGTAAAGAAGACCACCAACAGACTAACTGTTAACTGTTCTGTGTTCGGAGCCATGGTGAGGGTAAATAGCACGGTGGCGCCTGCATTGTTCAGTACGAAGAAAAAGCTAATTAGGATATTTGTCAACAAAGACGATACAGAAAGTTGCAAAACCAAGAAAAAAATTGGACCCTTCCTGGCATGTGTATTCTTGAAACTTTTAGTTTGTTGGGAGAAATGCCTCTTAGACTTTTGTATAATTACAGAGAAACGTACATAGTACACATTGTAATATATAAGTAAAAAAAATCCTGAGCAGAAGTTGCTTCCACAATTAGAAAAGAGTTGATTATATGCAATCGGCTAAACAGATTTTAATGAATCATAGCTAAGAACGCTCTATCTAGAGCAGATTCAAATAACAAAAGTTCTCAAAACACGGTTCTTTTGTTTAGGAGCTACCACGCCACAAACAGATCTACAGATAAAACCGTAAAACTTGTAACACCTTTTACATTTGTCTGTCGGGTGCTTAGTGATTTGTTGGTTTCACCGATTGAGTGAGATTACCTAAGCCCAACCCTCTGATTCTGTTGGGTTCAAGGGTGGCAGCGTACTTGTGACTCGTTGCAGTTGTCCATGGGCGGCGGTAGTCACTAACTGCTGGATAACCCGTCTGCCTGTTTGCGCGATGCGCCTCCATATGAAAGAAAACACACCCTTAGCAACACCACAATTATATCGCTATATGTTAGTTATTGTCAAACGCAATACGTTTCATTAATAATTTATTTTAACCATAAGCAAGTATTCAATGGACCCACCAGTAATGGTTAATTGAGAGCGGAGAGCACAGAATAGGTAGTTAAAACTGTCAGATAATTGTACATCTGTTAAGCTTATTTATATACTAGGCTACCGCCACGTCAATATTTTAGAATAATAATATTCTAGTTAAGAAGCGCCTTCATGACTTTTTAGTCAAGAAATAATGAATATATTAGCATTATTACTAGTTGGGATGATCTTATTATTGTTGCTTAATGAAATATTTTTTTAGTAAAGAAATGCTACTATGCAATCAGTGCACAGTAGCATTTCTTTACTAAATTAAAATTAACAATTTATTTAACATATTTTTACAAATTATTTAACATATTTTCACAACTCTACCAACTAAATAGGAGATTATTCATACAACCCGATACATTTGTTTATTTCGATTGTTTTTATTATATTATCCACAAATGTTATATATTTTTCATAAAGTCTTAACATTCCAAATAAAGCCATATTAATCACTTGGTCCATAACATACACAACAAAGCCGAGTCTGTAAACCAGCAGTGTACTTACCCATTACGCATAGACAATAAGAAGAAGCTTTCATTGTGTAAAGAGCTCTTTTGTTGATCCACTTCTTGGAGGTAGACACGCAATTGTTTGATAAATGGTTCACAGGTATTCTTCTTCAAAGTGTGACAATAGACAAAGTTTATCTCGTCATTTGTTAGTTATCGTACAAATAAACTTTAGAAATTAAATTGTCTTTAAATTTTATTTTATTCATTACTACATTTTGAAGGTAATTAGGACATTCAATTTATTCCTAAAAATAAATTGTATACGTTGATTTAGTACGAAAATGTCTTCAGTAGTAGTTATCGAAGGTTATTAATTTCGAAAATTTGGGAGATTTCGTTTTCTTTTTAGTTGGTCAGTGGTCAGGTACTATTAGTGACACATGCTGTTTGCAATAGTTTAATGCTATGCTTTTACAACTATAATCTATAGGGTACAAGTTCACCTACATTTTTTTTCGCTTTTAGCCCTAACTTTAAATTTCATATACATATTCTTTATTAAATTGAGTTTTGGTCAAACTATTAATTTATCTACAAACCTGAACATGTCAAAAACAATTTTGCAAATAACTAATTAAAATCCAATAGACGCATCGAAAGAGGCCGCCTATGTGTCTTTTTATTGGGCAAAAGTTAATATAATCTTCTTCTTACGTTAAAAAAAAAGAACAGAAAAAAGAATGCTGAATGATTAAGTGATTAGTCAGCATGCTTTTGCAACACCATTGATTAAGCATTGGCGATATATTCTCAGAGCTGCTTAATGTTGTATGGTAGTCTTTCTATGACAAAACGAAAAATGACAGTAATTTACTGTATTATGTCAGATGAAAACAGTTCCAGTTTTGCAGAGTTCCGATAATTTCCACATGTTACCCTATTTTATAGTTCTGGTCAGGTTTCACTGGAATAAATAAATTCAATTTGCAGTCTGTGTAACTTTGTCAATTTGCCAATGTTTGAGCAATTCCGTGTCGTGTTGACAGAAATGCTGACGATCTCGGACGTCCAATTCTTTGGTCCACCTGTGACTTGCCGCTGAAATTAGTTACAAGAATTGTAAGGGAAACTATAAAAGATTTTTGAAGTGAAAACTTCATTAGGCGCGTGTGGCATTTTTGAACAACAAACAAAAGAATATATTTTTTGAGAATATACGTACGGAACATATATTGTGTATATACGTACAACATAGATATATATTCATGTCTAGTAAATACATTTATTTGTAACTTAAAGTATAATTTATTGTAACATTTTGACATTTTGAAATTAATACTGAAATTTTTATTTGATAAACATATCAAATGTAATTTATTATTCTAAATCAATTGACAATTATTTTTTAACACTTTTTCATGCCGTTAAGGTAGACCGAAGAGAGACATGTATAAATAAAAATGTAACACCGTTGTACACCTTTGATCAGCAAATAAATAA